TTTTTTTTTTTTTTTTTTTACGGATAGGCAGGAGAGTATCTACCAGGTGGAATCTCAAAGACTTCTTGTCTTCTCTGGATCGATAAAATACTAAAGTGAACAGTGAGTTAAAAGAATAAAAAAAAACATCTGCTTTTGATGAGACGAAATGATTTAACTTCACATGGCAGTGCTTTAGGTTCACCAATATCAAGAAACTTCTTTTTATAGAAGCTGTGTCAATTTCCATGTAGCCGCAGACGAATGGCTGCTGCTGCTGCTGCTTCTGCTGCCGCGTTTTGCAGCTTTCCATTGAATTAGTTCAAACGTAAGAAGGCAGTGTTTCCTCAAAGTGATGAAATTCGATCCACAGGAGCCATTCGAGCTTCTTAGTGCTCTCTCTTTCATCGAGGGCCATGGCATGAGGCTATAGATATAGCCATGGAAAGGACATATCTGGGGTTTGATACCTTATCGCATTGAATTGAATGCCAGCTTTTGTTTCAAATATTTTGAGGGGGGAATTTCTACTGCAAATTGTTTTATTTAAGTAGCAGTAATAATAATAATATAGACACCAATCAATCCCTTTTAGTATCCTGTTGCCATTAATTTTATATAAATAATTAGGAAAAGCTAATTATGAGCAAGTAATTTGGTTTAACTGTTTGTGTTTGAAGGATTCATGAAACGAAACAAAATCTAAATTTAATCATTAAGATTTCTTGGTTAAAATTTATTTAATGGGGTAAGATTATAATTCTTATTATACATATAAATCAAGATTCGTTAAGCTTTTTATTAAATAATAATTTAAGTATTCAATAAAACCGTTTTATTTTATTTTAATAGTGGAGATTTTTGTTTTTTTATTAATCTTCACATACAAAAATTAAATTCTTTTTTACTCGTAATTTTCTAATAAAAGAAAAATGTCCATAATAAGGCTTGGAAATGTCACGTGGGGAATTAGAGGCTTTGGAAAGATCCTTCAATTTATTTATCCTAATTAAATAGAGTATTGATAAACGATATTAATGTTGTTTTATTTATTTATCCAGTACAAAACATAAGAAGTACTTCCAAAAATATCTCAAAATTTTTTATTTTAATATTTGGATATTTTTTTGTTTTATTCTTGTGTTTGAACTATGTTTTAAAAGTGCATAACTTCAAAAAATATCAATTTAATATGTTAATATTTTAATTTTTAATATAGTGATATAAAAAACTTAAAATAATTATTTTAATATAGTTTTTTTTTAATGAAAAACACTTTATCATTTTAATATGTTAATATTTTAATTTTTAATACTTTGATATAAAACAATTTAAAATAATTATTTTAATATATATAGTTTTTTTAATTGAAAAACACTTTATCAGAATACCAAGCCTACACTTCAAAATCCTAATAGACAAAAGATAATAGAGCCATGCTTCATAGCCTTTAATTTTTATTTTATTTTTGTCGAAGCCTTTAATTTATTTGGAAACATGCTCATGTAGCAAACCTTTTGCGAGTCATTTCCATGGCAGTTGGTGTTTACGCACTTGGAAGCATTACAATAATATGATGTGCTAGGCACATGCAATTTCTCTTAAAGTTTGCATTATTAAATTGAGAAACCCTAACCCCTAGATGCAAAGTGTAACATCGACTATACTATAGTTTGATTAATTATTTTGGCCTATATACTTAGCCCACAATCTTAATTAATATATAAATAGAAACCCCTCCCGATCGTGGAGGTGTGATTATTTTTAATTTCTTCATTTATTAAATGTCACATTGTGGGTTATAGCCTATAAATTAAGTTATTTTTTTGTAGTGCTCTCCACATTTTTTTTTTTGTGGTGCTCCCCCCCCCCCCCCCCTTTTATTTAATTATTGACGTAGATATTGTCTGCTAGAGCCTATACGATGCTTAATCATGTTGATTGTCATTGGAATATTGGTTCGGATAACTTATATTAAATTATCCCTATATCAAACATAATTCCACGCCAATTGGATAACTGGTGTGCATCTAATCTAATTAGTAAATAAACAAGAAGAATTTTTAAAATATACTTCAAAATTATTGTTTTTATTTCTACGATCTTTATTTCTTCTGTCCTAGAACAGTAACTAAATGCTATTTTTATTTATTTTTGTTGATGTAGATGCAGTCAACTACATATTCCTCTACAATTGATGGGAGAAAAAACTCTAAATATTTACCTTTTCCTATTGATATTAATCTCCACAGGCATTGGTTAAACACAATGTCTCTTTCATGGATTTTCCCTGCTTCAAACAAAAGATCACAAAATGAGAGATGCTTTCCAGGCATGTATGATTATCTTATTATTATTGTCTTTGTCCAGAGTAAATCTCAAATGACACTCTCCCAACTTTTCGGTGCCTATTTTCATAGGGCATTCCCATGGTCTTCTGGAGATCTGAAGGTGATAAAGTTCAGAGATTCATTTCGAGAAAACGAGAGGCTTTCAAGTAGGTAGGGGCCGTAAGGGCTGGCTATGTTTTTCATGTGCATGGCATGATAAAAACCCAGCAGACAATTAATTATATGTTGCCGTTTTCTTTGAAAATTAAGCAAGGCAGGGAGGGAGGAAGACCATGTGCAATGCTGCATTGTTTTGAAAGAAGCAAACAAAAAAATAAGTAAAACTAAGGTCACTGTGTTAGGTAGTGTTGCAATTGGCATCTTCTGGGAGAACTAGTGGCTCAGGGCTCCATGCTGTTGCAGAACCATAGAAAATTTGTTTATGTAATTTACCTTACCTTTGCTATGTTTTTTTTTTTTTACTTTTCTTCTTCTTGCCTATGAACAGAGCTTTTACCATTTGGTGCCACCAATTTCTTTGCTGGTCATTTAATTTTTGTTGAGATAGTTTTATTGAATAATATAAATTAGCAACGAGGCAAAAATTTACTAATTTATTAAAAAATATATTATTAAATTGTTAAGGTTTTTTTTTCCACAACTTTGTTTTTGCAAAAATATACATGGTTGTCAAGTAATATTTTGAATGTTAATATAAAAAATATGATGACATTATAGATATTGAACTCGGTTAGACATACTAATTGACTTATCAATTCAACTCAAAACCTAATTTGATTACATATATATAAAAGTAATATTTTGAATGTTAATATAAAAAAATATGATGATATTATAGATATTATTGAACTCGATTAGACATTGACGTATCAATTCAACTCAATAATAAACACATTATTGAATTAAGCTCAATTTAACCCGCAACCTGATTTAATTATTTTTTCAAAGAAATATATAGTGAAAAAATACAACATTAAATTAAACCGACCAATATTTGACAGTATCAATACTAGAAAAACCTTAAAATGAACACTCTTGTGTCCTGAAAGCACTTGTTCGTAATTCATTCAGTAAGATTTCGGGGACCAATTTCTCAGTAAACATTGAATTGGATGAAGAAGAGCACAGAGAGTCAAGAAGCAGTAAATGGTCCTACGTCCATGGAAGTTACAACACAGGCATCAAAGTGCCCGGAGAATAGCTGACTTTTCTTTGTACAACAAACTTTGAAAGTCAGGGAAGGGAAAACTGGAAGAGTACACAGTTGTTTTTCTTTAGAAATCCCGTAGTGAATACGTTGACATCACAGGCAAATCCCTGGTTTCTCTACTTGGGCTGTCTGTCCCTCTATCCTCAGCAACAATGGCTGCCTGCCTGCCTTGTGACATCACAGGCAAATCCCTGGTTTCTCTCTTCTTGGGCTGTCTGTCGCTCTATCCTCAGCAACAATGGCTGGCTGCCTGCCTGCCTTCACAGCCTTTCTCCAGCAAATTTTGGTGCCTATCTCTCCAGTCTCCATGTGACACTGTGCTAGCTGGTGACTCTGGGCCATAACATATGTGTGTGTATGTATGCACTGTGCTAGCTGGTGACTCTGGGCCATAACATATGTGTATGCATATATTCTCAACGCTTTCATTAATTATGATGGAAATAATGGGAATAATAAAGATTTTACCTTTTTAATCGCGACATTGAATGGCAATTAACCAGAACATAATTTCATGTTAAATCGAAATTTAACCAAAACCAATGCAATTTCCATAAAAAGCAGTTAAAGAATTGTTCTTCGTCTTCTTTTTTTTCCTTTTCCTTTCTTTTCACCGCTTGGTTTACATACTCCTAGCCCTAAAGAAAGCAAGGAAGTGAAAGGCAAAATAATAATAATAATAAAAAAAAGCAGAAAGAAAAGGTCAAAAGAGCATATACATTTGTGCTAATATCGATAATAAAAGGAATTATGATACGTTTTCCGAGTTAAAATAGCATAAAAGCTTGTAAAATAATACCTTTGATTATATATAATTATCCACGAATAAGTTTTGTATAAATAAGAAGACAATGCGTCAAGAGAATTTAATAATCCATTACCACATGTATGATCCATATGCTAAAATATTTCTAATCACAATATATAATATAAAATTAGGCTGAAGATTCTTTAATATTAATTTAAAATTTATCTTAATCAAATTATCATAAAAAGTAAGAACAAGATTCATTCACTTTAAAATTCTCAAATTTAAATCTTCGCTGAGTAAAAACATTTAATTTTATTTGTAAAACATCTTAAACTTTGAGCTTGTAAATAGATATGATAATGTTTTATTAATCTTTTAAAATAAAAGATATTGAATCAGTTGAAAATAAGATGATATGTTCAATGTATATTTTGTTAAAAAAATAAATAAATTTAATTTATATTTTTATTTTTATTACTCTAATTAAACACGGTTATATCATTTTTGTATCTATTTTTTTATATATATAGTAAGATACTAATCAAAGACAGAGCATACTCCATCATTACTGCGAATTTAGAATTTAATTAAAAGACAAATAAAAATAATTAAGAATTTACAAAGCAAAAAGAGCAAGGAAGAAAGAAAATAGAAAGTGCAAGTGTTACGGTGTACACGTGCATTTAGCATATATTAAGATATTAAGACCCCATCTCTCTCTCTCTCTCTTTGTTTCTGTCTCTCTGCACGACTTACAAAGTGAACAAAAACAGTAATGGAAGAAAGAAACAACTGATTGACAGACACTGTAACAAAGCAAAGCAAACTACACTAATTTTATTATTATTATTTTCTGCTACAGAACAAGAACATCCTTGTAGCATTATCTCTTTGTTGACGTCTCTCTTCTTACTTTTTCTTACACACAGAGAGAGAAGCATTCCTCCCTCCCTCCCTTCTTTTTATAGTAGTTTAAGTTGCTGACTGTGGTGTCTGTGAGTGCAGGCCAGCCAGCCAGTGTTATAGGGACATTCTTCTTCATGTTCACCCTGTAGTATCTGCTACTGCTTGCTCTTGTCTCTCACTCTGCTTCTCCTGTCTCTTTCTTGATTATTATTCTTTCTCTCCGTGTGTTTCTGTGGTTTAGTAGTGCATGAAATTCTCTGCCTGAAAATGGGGGAAGAATCCTTAACTACTGTCCCTTTTGACAGAACTGTTGAGCAGGTCTCTCTCTTCTCTATCTATCTTTCTAGTTTTTGTTTGGTTTGGTTACATTTTCTTGATTTTGTGTTTCATGTATTTTCTGTTACATTCTATGGTGATTTCCTAAATGGGGTATCATAAAGGAGGCTGTTTATGTGTAATTCTTCTGTTATAGATGGAAAGGAGACTAATTTTTGCCTATTTGGCATTCATGTCATTTGTTCTTCTTCTCCTCTTTCTCTGTGTTAGCTACTGTAAAATTTTAAGCAGACACATTGTTTAGATACAAATATTTTTGCAGTTTCTGCAGTGTTTGGCCTGAAGGCTCTCAATGGATTTTGATTATTCACCCTCATTTTCTTTTTCCCACTCAATTCTTGATTTGATTTTTTTTTAATGTGGAGTATTTGATAGCTTATAATCAATCACCTTGCTATAAAGTTTCAATATTTGTTTTAATTTTGCTTTTTAGCTCTTTATCAGTGTAAGAATTAGAATTTAGAATCATATATTTCTTTGAATTCACCAAATTATGCAAAAAGGGTGATACCAAAATAATTTTTTTAAAGATTTCCGATACATTATTGAACCGTGTAATTATGGATTTGATAGACACTGACTCGGACTGTAGTGGTTGGTTTCATCCTTTTTCTTTAACACTGACTCGGACTGTAGTGGTTGGTTTCGTCCTTTTTTTTTTTTTGAACTTTCCTTTCTTTCTTTTCTTTTCTTTTCTTTTTTTTTTTCATTTTTGATTGGGATTCAAGATCGTTAATGATTCTATGCAATGACGTGCAGGCAATCCTGGCTATGAAGAAGGGTGCACATCTCCTGAAGTGTGGAAGAAGAGGAAAGCTCAAATTCTGTCCGTTCAGGCTTTCCACGGTATGTAAGTTTTATATAGGATAAAATTGGCAATTAGTGGGAGAATTTGATCAGCTGTATGGTTGCATAAATCCAGCATAATTTGTTATTTTGACTGAATAATTTTGGTTCACTCGATCTCTCTACTTGATCAAACAAATATTCGTCCTTCCTAGTGTTAGAATCACCAATATTCGATTATTATTTCGTTACATGTTGAGGTGCATTGCTATTTCTGCTCTGGTTTTATGATAAAATGATCGAAAGAATTGTTTTGATTTTGCGTTTCAGGACGAGAAGTATTTGATTTGGTATTCTGGACAGGAGGAGAAACAATTGAGATTAAGCTTAGTTGTAAAGATTGTTACTGGGCAGAGGACTGTACGTATCCAAGGATGCTTTCTGATATCAAGCTGTATCCCTTTATCTGTATCTAGTTGAAGTTGATGCCCTTTTACTGTTGCTATGGATGGTGATTTCACTTCTCACATTTCTATTTTCAGAGGCAGCTTCAACCAGATAAGGAGAATCAATCATTTTCACTTATCTATACAAATGGTGATCGCGCACGCTCGCTTGATCTGGTAACTCCTGAGTTTGAGTTTTGTTATGAATAGATCACTTCTGGTTAAGATTCGTGGGTTCGTTAATTGTTTTTATCCATTATTTTTCACATAGATATGTAAGGACAAAGCGCAGGCTGATTCTTGGTTTATAGGCTTAAGGGCAGTGATATCCAGGTGTCACCGTTCTAGGCCTATTTGTGTCCTGAAGAGCCACAGAGGAGCACAAAGTTGTGTAAGTAGCCCAGCTGGGTTTATCAGAAGAAAGCACCATCTAGGAATTCTGGAGGATGACACTGAAATGGCACAGGTTTTAACATCCCTTTTTCTTGTGGTTTCTTACACAAATAAAAGAGCTTTTTTATCTTCCAAAATGTTGGTTTCATGAAAATGTCACTAGTGCTCAGAGGATATTGACGATGTTAAATTGCCTAATCAATTGAGCTTCTGTTCTGAAATGTAAGCAAGTTGCAGTGGCCTGTGCTGTTGTTTTGGGGTAATTAATGAAAACAAAACTCTCAATGTGAAACAATTGAGATTTGAACATAGACTAGTAATTGTCTGAAGTATTTGATTACTTTTGTCTGTAGTTGGTAATTACTTTGCTTATTGTGTGTTAACCTGTTCTTGTGTCCCCTGCAGTTTCCAAACTCCAAATTTATCATGATATAAAAACCTAATTATGATGCTAATTATATGGTGCTGAAAATTGATTTGGTTTATCCTATTATGAAGGCTAAATACTGCTCTTTCTTTGGAGAAGTTTCATACTCTCGTTTTCCTCCTTGCAATTGCAACTGACAAAATGAAAATATTACAGTCTTTACTGATAAGTTTCATTTTTGCTTGTGTTTTATGTAAAAAATATTGCAGGTGCGTAGCTTAAGCGGAAGTCCTACGCAGTCACTTTCAGATAGGGGTATTTCCGATGGATTGTCTCTTTCTTCTGATAGCCTTTTTTTCTCAGGATCAAGTCTTCCCCAGATGCAAAATGTGGAGGATTTGTTAGTTTCGTACATACCAAATGTTGAACCACAGAATCTCAAGAAGAATGGATCTGACACTGCTTTCTCAGAGTTCCAAAAGAATACATGTCATAAACTTATTGGTTTGAATCATGGATCTCCACGAACCGAGAAAAAGGACATCCTAAAGGATGTTCTAATCTGGGGAGAAGGAGTAGAAGTAGGAAATATAGGGTGTGTGGACAACCAGTTTGGTTACCACAATACAAAGCAAGTGGATGCTTTATTGCCAAAATTGTTGGAATCCACCGTGATGTTAGACGTAGCAAATATATCTTTAGGAAGGAAACATGCTGCCTTAATCACCAAACGAGGGGAAGTTTTCTGCTGGGGTGAAGGAAGTCACGGGAAGCTTGGGCATAAAGTTGACATGGATGTGAGCTCTCCAAAAATGGTTGAATCCTTAGATGGTGTCCATGTGAAATCTGTTGCTTGTGGTGATTATCAAACTTGTGCTTTGACAGATTCTGGTGAACTGTATGCATGGGGTGAGAATAAATATGGTGCGAATTTGGGGTGCGAGGAGAGAAGTAGAAGCCAGTGGTTACCACGTCGAATTTCAGGTCCTTTGACTGGTGTCTGTATACTGAATGTTGCTTGTGGGGACTGGCATACAGCGATTGTGTCCTCATCAGGGCAGTTATTTACATATGGGGATGGATCTTTTGGGGTTCTTGGTCATGGGAATCTTCTAAGTGTTTCTCAACCCAAAGAAGTTGAATCTCTTAAAGGTTTGTTGGTAAAATCTGTTGCATGTGGATCATGGCACACTGCTGCTATTGTGGACATCATTGTTGACCGGTTCAAGTTTAATGGTGTTGGTGGGAAATTATTTACGTGGGGAGATGGTGATAAAGGGAGGCTGGGGCATGCTGACCTGGAGAAAAAGCTTCTACCAACATGTGTCGCACAGCTTGTGGAACTTGATTTTGCTCAAGTTTCTTGTGGGAGAATGCTGACCGTTGCACTTACCAATACAGGGAAGGTGTATACAATGGGAAGCTCAGTGCATGGACAGTTGGGGAATCCACAGGCCAAGGATAAATCGATTGCAATTGTTGAAGGAAAGCTTAAAGACGAGTTTGTTAAGGAGATATCGTCAGGGTCATACCATGTTGCTGCATTGACATCGAGTGGAAGTTTATATACATGGGGGAAGGGGACAAATGGACAATTAGGATTGGGAAATGTAGAAGATAGAAACTTTCCAACTTTGGTTGAGGCTCTGAGAGACATGCAGGTTCAAAGCATAGCTTGTGGGTCAAATTTAACTGCCGCAATCTGCTTGCACAAATCTATCTCTGTTAGTGATCAATCAGCTTGTAAGGGCTGTAGAATGCCCTTTGGTTTCACAAGGAAGAAGCATAACTGTTATAATTGTGGTCTACTGTTCTGCCGAGCATGTAGCAGCAAGAAGGTCATGAATGCATCTTTGGCACCTAACAAAAGCAAGCCTTCGAGAGTCTGTGATTCATGTTTTTACAGTATGCAGAATATCACACATCCAGTTGGAGTGTCAAAACTAGAAAATCTTGGTTCCAAGAAGCTGCTGTCCCAACAGAAGAAGGCCTTATCAGATGAAAAGGAAGAAAGGGGCAGAGCAACCCCTCCAGGGCATCGTTTACTGTTAATGAGCCAGCCATCTCTGGAAATCCGACCTGGTGAGAGGAACACCCCGAGAAAGCAAGGGGAAAAGCAGCAACATTTAGAAACTGTCTTTTCTATTTCAGCTGGATTGCCACAATGGGGACAAGTGTCATGTCCTGCTATATTTGAATCATGCTATATAAAGAATTCTGAACTTCATCTGGAATCAAAATCTTCCATTTCCAGTTCTTTGAATCTAGAAGAAGAATTGAGTGATTCAAAAAAGATGCTAATCGAAGAAGTTAAGAGGCTAAGAGCACAGGTAATGACTGCATTTTAGCTTAAAATTTAATTGCTTATCTTGATGATGTTTTTTTGCCTTTCATTAGGCCACATTTAACTTTCTTCATCATACACATGCATGCTTCAACTGGTCTACACATCATTGGATGTGATTGACCAGTTAAGCAAAAATTTTAGCCTTTGCCATCTGCATTGCTTGCTCCAATTCTCTGCATTACTCCAATTCTTCTTTCCTTGCTGACTGTTTTTGTTTCAGTTAGCAAATGCCTTGAGTTTCTTATCACTTCTTCATGTAAGCATTACCTGTGGTGCATATCAATATTCGATGTATATATGAATTAGGTTAGGAGCTTTCCTTTGTACTCGAGAGTGCTATGCTGCTTATGTTCTCAATGTCATGATGGCTAAACTGATTTTATTGGTGAAGCAAAAGACTTTTATGTGCGGTCATTTCTATATGTTAACTTCCATAGCATCGATCTTATTATGAATTAAAACTATGTCAAAATTGCCTCTACTTCAGTACCACACCTGTGACATGGGACTCATCAAATGCTTAAGCATTTGTTCCTACTTACAGTAAAAACGATTTTTTGGGGCTTCTCCATGGATTTTGAGAGAAAAGAGGTTAGGGGAGAAGCAATTACAATTGAATCGTTTTGTTTTCTGTCATAAGCAAACCAGAAGCAGTATTGTTTTAGCAGAATTCCATATATAACTTAAGCTGATTCTGTAAAGTGCTTTTGGCTTGAATTATGTTCATCTCTTCAGAGCTCTTTTGTTTTAAATAGGCTAGGAGCCTTGAGATGCAATGTCAAACTGGATGCCAGAAGATTGAAGAATGTCAACTAACTATAGAGAAGACTTGGTTACTGGCCAGGGAGGAAGCAGCTAAGCGTAAAGCAGCAAATGAGATAATAAAAGCTTTGGCATTAAGGGTAATTCTCTTTAAGTTGTGGCTGGTCCCTTTTAAGTGTTAAACTAAACAAATGAATGACAATTATTGGTGCAGCTTCATGCAATGTCAGATAAAGTCTCAGTTAGGAAAGAAACAAAAGATGGAGTGGATCCGTATCAGCCTCAGCCTAGACCTGACTATACTGATACCCCTACACTTTCTAGTGGATGTGCTGTGTTTCCATCAACTCATTTTCCTCTCGAAGTTAGATTTCCGAAAGACAGCAAGATAGACAGCTTATCTAACTCTCCTATTGTGTTTTCCAATACGTTGAAGTCCATGGATGGAAGAGAGTTGTGCCATGAAGATAGCAGACCAGAGGAAGATGTACATGACATGATGACTGATCCTCGACGAAATGGAACTAAAACATCAAAGCATGAATGGGTCGAACAATATGAACCTGGTGTATATATAACATTTACAATTTTGCCAAGTGGACTGAAGGGTCTGAAGCGAGTCAGGTTTAGGTGATTTTTCTATCAACTTAATCATTAACAACATCACCATTGATTAGATACAAGATTTCTTACTAATCATTTATGCTTGATCATGTTTTGCAGCCGTAAACGTTTTGCGGAGAAAGAAGCAGAACGATGGTGGGAGGAGAATCAAGCTATTGTATACCAGAAATACGGCATTGAAGGATACAATAAATCAAACCAAAATCTGTCAAAGAGCTAATCTTTGCACACTCTTTATTATATGTTTACTTTATATTGGTCCTCACAATGAAAAGGGCAGAACTTGTATGATTTTGCCAAGGATACTTCTCTGTGAGCTCTGTACAGATCCCAGATTGGGTATGTTGTCAAGTTATTTTGCAAGATGAAGTTTTTGCACAAGAGGTGGAAAGTTTCATGTAGTTAAAGCTCCATATAGTCTCTAAGAACTCTCTTGTCTAAGCCATCCTCTGTACAGTCATCAATAAAAAGCTTCTCTCACATTTCTATAGGGATGTTTGTACAAGCTCGATCTTTAGGTTGCATTTTCTTACTGTTTCAGAACTCAACAAACAAATATAAAAGGGTAAAAAACATGCATTTTTAAAGTGATTTTTTATCGTTTCAAAACAAAAAACACAAAGTACTTGTGTTCTCTATCCCAATTATCTCTGTGTCATTTCGATACGACAACCAAATATCACATTAGAGTTCCTATTTTACTTAGAATGGCCAGGGTTAGACACCATTTGAAGCCAGTGTTGTTAAAATCCAAGTTGATGGTAATAAAATTGGGAGCATCAGACTTTGAGTGCCAAGTTATAACTGAAGGCTTCCCTCCAGTATTGGTTCCGCAGGAGTCAACTGGAAATGGGCCACTGCAAGATTCTTTTGAATTTCCTTTCATCATATTCAAAATCATGCTTCCTGTAAAAGAATTAGGATGGCATAACCATTTTCCTTGTCCAGTAGCTTGAGCTCTAGGTGGATTGATTCTTTTCCAATTACAAGTAAGATTAAAACGCGTTGCGAAAAATAATGTGGATAGTCGACAATGTTTCCCATTTTGTCTATGATAAAATAAATCGAACACCTAGCTACTGAGAGTAATTTTGTAGTTTTATTAGTCTCTATTTGCCATTACCATGTGGTGTATTTGTCTTTTCACTGCACTCAAATGATTTCATTATTTTTGGACTTAAGATTTTTAAAGGTTGTTGCAAGAGTATTTTTTTTACACTAAAATAACTAAATTATCCCTAAAAATTTATATTTTATTCACTAGTGAATAGGAACATCTTAATATTTTCATATTAATTATTTTGTAATAATTAGTTGATACAAAGACTTTAATGAGATAATATTTTTTAATGTAAGGAATTTTTCATCTTGATTATTTTTTATTTTCATGATGAATAAGACTTTAATGAGATAATATTTTTTAATGTAAGGAATTTTTCATCTTGATTATTTTGTTATTTTCATGATGAATAAGAGGTCCTTTGACTTTTTAGTATATATAAAATAGTAATAAAAGTGAGTAAACACCTAGCATCTTTCAATATATTTTTTTTAATTGATTTTCATGCTTTTCTTTTTTACTTTTCTTTTTTACTTTTCTATTTATGGGTTTATTTTAATTATATTTATGGGTTTATCCTAATTATATTTTCATGATTACAAAACTAGTATGTTAACCTAGATTAACCAATATATTTATTTTTTTATTTTTTAAAAGTTTCACCATTTAATAATGAGTTGTTCAACAATTCTATTTATAGTTTTATTTAATTTGTTTTTGTTTTTTATTGGCTTTGATAATCATTTAATTGAACAAAAAAATTATTTTAAAAAACAAAATTACTAAATATAGTTGAATACATAGTCTATGTTGCGAGCAATTAAATATCTTATTCTAGTTATTTTTTAATTAAATATCAATTTATTTAATTAGACATGTGTATAAATATTTTAATTTTTTATTATAATCTTTTTATATTAAAAAATATATTAAAAAAATCTAAATATTTAATCATTTTAATTAAAAAAATTATCATACCTATAACAAAACATGAGTCACATATCGTACTTACACAACATGCAACTTTACTGATGATGCCAAAGTTTACTGTTCTTGGAATTAAGATTTTTAAAGGTTGTTCCAAGAGGGTTTTTTTTTTTACATTAAAATAACTAAATTATCCTTAAAAATTTATGTTTTATTCACTAGTGGATAGAAATATTTAAATATTTTCATAATAATTTTTTTGTAATAATAGGTTGATAAAAAGGCTTTATTGAGATAATATTTTTTAATGTACAAGAAATAAAAAGCTTTCTTCTAAGAAAATTTTCATTTTTTTATCTTCATTATTTTGTTATTTTCATGATGAATAAGAGTTCCTTTAATTTTTTAGTATATATAAAATAGTAATAAAAGCGAGTGAACACCTAGCATCCTTCAACATAATTCTTTTTTTTTTTTACTTTTTTTTTATAGGTTTATCTTAATTATATATCCATAATTACAGAATTAATATATTAACCTAGATTAATCAATATATTTATTTTTTTATTCTTTTAAAGTTTTACCTTGAGTTGTTCAATAGTTGAATTCATAATTTTATTCAATTTGTTTTTGTTAATGATTTTTTTTTGTTTTTTATTGGCTTTGATAATCATTTAATTAAACAAAATAATTATTTTTTTAAAAAAATTACTAAATATAGTTGAGTAGATGGTTTATGTTACGAGCGATCAAATATTTTATTCTAGTTATCTTTTGATTAAATATTAATTTATTTAATTAGACATGTGTATAAGTATTTTAATTTGTGATTTTAATCTTTTTATATCCAAAAATACATTAAAAAAATTATCATACCTGTAACAAAACACAAGTCATAAATCATACTCACAAAACATGTAATTTTACCGATGATGCCAAAGTTTACTGTTCATTAATGTTGAGGGTGGCATAAAGAGGAATGCTTAATTTTTTCTTATAATTCTTAAAATAAAATCTTGTAACCAACATTTCAGGAAATTTAACAAATTCTTTAAAAAAAAAAAAAGTTCTAAAGAGAAAACAACAATTTCATATGTAGGCAAAATACTTAGAAGATCTTATTTCTAAATCTTAATTTAATATATACAATTCATTAGAGAGATTTATCGAGCTAAATTAATGATTAGAATGTCTAAATAAACAAGAACAAATTTTACCTAATATGGCTTACAAAAAACTTAATTCAACCGAAAAGATTTGAATGTTTGAATAAATAAGAATTTTAGTCTAATAAAAATGTTTATTCCTTTTTTCTTTTTTCTTCTTTAGGAGATTGGCCC